ATGTACAGTGTATTGATTATCAAAACTGTCCTATTAATCAGCTGTGAAACTGTCTCATTCATATTTATTTCTCAATAAAAATAAAAGAAAAGAAAAACTACATGTCATACACTAAAAAAATAAAAAATAAAATATAAAAGTATACTTTGAGACTCAAAAAACAACAAAAACAAAAACCACACACACACAACTGGCTTGCCATGCTGGCCCTGCCCCTGGGGCACACTGAGAGGGCAATTGAGACTGGGTATGGTGGCACACACCTATAATCCCAGCTCTTGGGAGGCTGTAAACAGGTGGATCATTACAAGTCCAATCTAGTAGTGAGACCCTGAAAACCCTGTAGACCCTTCCCTAAAATTAAAAAAAAAGAAAGAAATTAAAAAGAAATCAGAACTACTGAATCAATGTCTCCAAGTTTTACTACTCAAATTATTTCCAAAAGGGGATTATTAGAGTCATCTGGAAGCAACTATCAGATATCCCTTAACAAAGTGACACTACATACGACCTTTCCTGACCACCCTATTTAAAATACCACTTAGGACCAGGGAGATAGCTCAGTAGAATAGGCAAGCACAGGGTCCTGAGTTCACAGGGTCCTGGTACCACAAAAATAAATAAACAAATAAGTAAATAATAAAATACCACCTCTTTCTCATCTACCCCCCCATGTAGCATGTCTTATCTCCCTAGATTTATTTTTCTTCACAACACTTAGCAGCATCTGACATACTATGTATCTTATTCATTTATTTTTTTGTTCTTTCAGTCTAGTTTATGCTGCAAATATGAACTCTGTGATCTCAGAGGGTTTAGTGTTTGTACCCTGGTGCATTCCTAAGTATCTGTGATGAACCCTCTTCTATAAAAGATTCTCAAAAAGCATTTGATAAGCTAATAAGTCAATATAGTGATGGAGGAAGAAATGAATAAAATAAAAATTGTCCAAAGTTCATCTTTGAATTTGAGTATATTTGTGTGAGTACTAAAGATGCCACATTTTAAAAGTTATTTTTAGTATTGATGACTGACCCCAGGACCTGCAACTGAGCTACATTCCTAGCCCTTTTTAAATTTTATTTATTTAGAATTTTTGGTTCTTTAAGATAGAGTGTCTCTACGTAGTCCAGGCTGGCCTTGAATTCACTGTGCAGCACAGGTTGGCCTTGAATTATAGTAATCCTTCTGCTTCATCCTACTGAGTACCAGAATTATGGGCATACATACCATACCAGGGCCACAACTTTTTTAAGAGGGCTTTTAGTTTGTTTATTTGTTTGTTTGTTTATTTGTTAGATAACTAATTCAAGTCATTTTTAAGTACATATCACTAGGACGATTATTCTTGCCCGTGATCCTAGACTTCAGAGGATCTGTTTACAGTCATAAGAAGAACCTAACACATCTTCTGAACAATAGGACAGCATTTCCCTAATTTTCCTATCGTAAGTTCTGTCAATTTGCTTAAAAGTTAAGATGGAACAACTAGTAAGTTTGATTAGCTTTGTAAGTATGCAGATATTTTTTTATCCTGCTATGTACTGAGCAGTAAATGTATCCCTTAAAACCAACTTGCCTAGATTAAATAAACAAGTCAAATCCCAAATCAACCCTCTGAGCTGTTAGGAAAGGTGCTGACCTCCCCACAGAGGTGAGACCGAACTTGGTGCCAAAGCCCTGTCACTATATTTGGAAGCGTATTTGTGATCTGCAGGAAAGCAAGTGCGTTATGTACCAGGTGGGGCTGGTATCCAGTTACCATCTATTTCTGCAGTCAGCGGACACCTCCGTGTCTCTGCTTAGCCTCCTCTCACCTTTGCGTTTACCTGAGGTCACATTTCAACTGTGTGGATGCTATTGTGTCTACAATTACCCTTCTAAAAACCAAGCTTCTGTGTTGCAAAAATAACATCGCTTTACCATTTAAAATAGGACAACAAGGAAAAATGTTACCCAGAACCTCCTCATCCAAAATAATTCTTGCTAACATGATAATACATTTTGTTTATTTTTCTAGGTATATTTATTTTTAGGGGTGTTTCTTTTATTATCTGGAATGTTTTGGTTTTGTTTTTTTTTTAAATATTTACCTGTTGTTTTCATATAAGAAGATTTCCAGGCGTGAAGGAATTTTCAAGGTAGTTATCATTGTTGGGATTGGATTAAGGGAAAAATGCACAGAGCTGGTTTGTTCAGCTTGAACTATAAATAATTCGGAAAACCTGAAAAGAAAAGAGAATTTAAAAAAAAAAAAAAAAGAATTAAATGATGGAAACCCAGAAGAGTCTATCTACATCTTGTTCTTGTGTTCTCAAAGGTACTCCTTAAGGTATATGTGGTGTTTTAGACTTGTCTAAACTTGACCCATAAAACCAATTAGAAACAGAACATATATTCAAAATGGTTGTCGGGTAACATGATATTTTAAATCAATTAGTTGCTCTTAATTTCAGGATTTCAAAAGTCTAGAAATGTAGCAAAACCAGGTTTTATGTTCATAGTATAAAATACCATTTTACTTCAAATGTACTCATATCAGGAAATTATTCATTAAGAATTTCTAAACATTAACTTTGGATTGTTAGTAAATCCTTAAATCAGTTTGTTATGGGAATATCAAAGTTTGACTTTAAATTACTACTAACAGCCTCAACATGAATGTTAAAGTTATTTTAGTTCAGGTTTTTTACGGAACCGGGGATTGAACTCAGGCCCTTGAGCTTGCCAGGAAAGCACTTATTCCACTGAGCCATTAGTCTCTCTATGGTTTAGGACTTGCTATAATGTTGATTTTTTTTTTTTTTTTTTTTTTTTTTTTGTGGTACAGGGATTGAACTTGGGAACTTGTACTTGCCAGGCAGGTGCTTATGCCTCTGAGTTACATCCTCAACCCCAGTTTGAAATATTTCTAAGACAGAAGTTCTCATTTTAAAGGAGAAATAAAGCTTGGGGGGGGGAGTTAAGGGGTGATTTCAAAGGCCACGATACATTCTTGTACCAAAAACACTTTTCATAATAGGGCTTTTGAAGAGTGTGTTGTGAAATAAAAATGCCCCTGAGATTACCTAGAACAATCAGAGCCACACTCCAAATTTCAGGAGTAAAAGGGAACCAATTCCACAAGACTGTTCTTTAACAGAGATAGATTAGCATCCCAGGGTCTTACCTCAGAGCCTTTAATTTAAAAAAAAGAAAAACTGGGTTTCAACACTAGTCATATGCAGAAAGTTTTTCCTGAATCTGAGTAATGCTTGCTTTACTAGATTGAATAAAGGATAGGAAAGTCAGATAAGGGCTGTCCCCCAGGCCTGAAAGCACAGCACATGCAGGAAGTTATCACCTTTTGCCCATTCTGCCTCTTTCCTTCAGAAATGGAAAAGCTGTCGGGTTGCCGATATAAGCAGAAGTGCAGGGCCAGGATGTAGAAATGACAGAAAGAGACATGGCCAGTTAAAATAAAAAAAAGGGAAAAAGAAATTGAGGAAAGTATACTGTGACACTAGAGCACTTCATAGTGGGCAGGAGGCCTTGTCAGCAAAGGATTCCCGTTCCTGAAGGGTCTCGAGCCCGTGAGGTAAAGACTGTCAGCAAGGTCGTAGGCTACGTCCCCTGATGGTGTCCAGCAACCATTCCACAGTTACAGTGAAGATTTCTCCTGGCTCTAGGTTTGTAAGAGTTATTGAGCAAAATACCACATCTAGTAAGTATTCAAGTAGTTTTTAAATGGTATTTTCCATGTTCAAAATTCCAAAGACTGTCTTATGTGTATTATTAGTTTAGAAAAAATGAAACAAAACCTTTGAACATCCTTCTCTGATAGTAGATATCTTTATGGCTAGGCAGCTACATTTATGTCTTTACGCTCATACAGTATCTATGTCATTACATTTGTATAGAGACAAAGAAGTTTCTCCAAATGCCCAAGCCCTTGGTGAAACAAGGGCCATCACAAACCTTTAAGTCTTGAGTTCAGCAAGAGAAATGATAATAAGAATCTGAAAGGCAATTTATCTGCCAGTTCTTACTGGGAATGTATTACATAGCAGATGCTAAACAAGGTCCTAAAGACCTTGCGAGAGGGTGTTGGGACGGGAGAAGGAAGGAGAGGTCAGTGGCGGTGACCAATGGTGCTAGTGACACAGTTCTTGGCTGTATGCTATCACAAGGAATTAGAGAAAAATTATATTAACATGTCCTCTAAAATAGCAGGGCACAGCAAGTGGGACAGCTTCCATGCTCTCCTGTGCTCGCTGGACTCCTCTGGACACAGTCCAAGCCTAGCGTGTGATTGAGACCTTCAGCTGCACTCTCAGGACCCCTCTGAATCCCTCCAGAGCCAACCCAGTCCCAGGACCGGCTTGTGAGTGAGAACTTCCGCTGCGCTCTCGGGACTCCTCCAGACCCAGCCCAAGTCCAGACCCAGTGAATTTGGGGGAGAGCTTCCACGCTTCCCTGTGCCTGCTGCATCCCTTCCGACCCAGCCCAGGCCCACTTGTGAGTGAGTCCTGTCCTGCTCTTTGGGACCCTCCAAACCCAACCGTGGCATACAGGCCTGGGGAGAAACCCTGCAGCTGAAGTCCCTGCAGAGAGGCTAGGGGCCAGAACCAACCCAGCTCATTCAGGAGCAGAACATCTTGCCAGAGGGTCACAACAGGTTCATTTCCAAGGGCTGCCTCAGGAAGAAGCTGAGCACAGCAGTCAGACCCAAGCTAGACACAACTGGATGAATTCAAACTTCATAGATCTGCACCCAAATTTCAGTAGGTTATAAGGTTAACTGCATTAAAGTTCAGAGGACGGTACTATAAAATAGAAGGGCACAACTTTTTTGGCACTGGGGGCTGGCTTCAGAGAAGACAATTTTTCCATGGAGAAGGGAGGGGAATCTAGTTTCTTTTTTCTGTTTGCATACACAATGCAATACACAATACACAATAATTTGCAATATACAATAATTATATTCCCCAGCACCAGCCTGACCGCCTCAACTCCACCTCAGATCATCAGGCATCACTCTCAAGGAGTACACAACCTAGAGCCCTGGTGTATGCAGTATACAGCTACTTTACTGCCCCTTGCCTCCTACTGTGCAGCAGGTTCCTACACAGACCCCAGATCTATACAGTAGTGATGGGGAAAGACACTCATTTAGTCCAGGAGTCAGAGAAGTTTTAGTTACACAAAGAATAGGTGAGCAAGACAATGAAGAGAAACAGAAGCATTTGAGAATGTCGAGTGTCAGATGTGGCAAGAGATGACACTAAAGTGTAGTACCATAGCAGTAGCTCATGAACAGCAGCATTAACTATGAAGAGTACAGGTCTTATCTGCATGGTAGTGGGAAATGATTGTTTTAGAGGTAAGGAAAAGGACACAATCACTTCTGTGTTTTTCTACAGCATAGTGACTGTAGTAAAAACTTATGCTGAAGATAGCTGATAGTCAGTTATACCAATCTAAGCAGAAGCAGATGGTTGTCTAAGCCAGCATATGGCAAAGGAGATGGAGAGAAGTGGAGGCCCACAGAGCACATTTGGAAGACAGATCCAACAAAATTAGCTGATACTTTGGCTGTAGGGTGTGAGCAGAATTGAAGAGAATGCCAAGCCTTCTAGCCAGACACTTGGCTATATATGATGCCACTTCCCCAAGCTTGAGGCATTGAGATAAGAGAAGGAGGAATGGGATCACAGGAGACAAAAGATGAGTTCACTCTTGGCTTAGACATGTCTGAGACATCAAAGGAAGTTCCGAGTACACTTGCAAATACCTTTTAAAGACTTCGGAGCTAAGACCTGGGAATGCTGAAGTGCTAGGAGTTAGCAGGCAGGGAAGTGCAAGGGAAAGGACAGTGAGAAGTTAACTCATGTAATGAGATTGCCCGAGGATGGGGTGATGAACTCACCCCCTCATGGAGGAATTGGCCACAGAGAGAGGAGAGGCCACCTCTCTGAGTGCAACAGCAAAAAAGGGAAGTGGTGGGCTAGCCAGATTTGTCACTTTGGAGGCCAGAAGTCAGTGACTCCTAGTTCTTTTGCGAAGAAAACAGGTCATCTGCTGGAAGGTGTGATATGTACAGGGCAAGTCTGAGGTTTGTCAAGAAGAGAAATTTTGCAAGAGACATTGTGAAGAAAAGAAGGAAGAAACCATAAGTACTGGGGTTGCATACATCAAGAATAGAAGGCTAGTGTTTCTTTTCTTCTGGAGCTCATTTTGAAACAAACTCAGTGTTCCTTGTCCCTGGCACCATTGTGTTACTAGTTTGTGCTCTGCTTCTAAAGTTATTTTTGATAACTTTTCTGGAACATCTTATAGGATGAGTCTCTTCTGTACTGAAGAAGAGACTTAATGGTGCTATTTATAAATTTGAGCCTCAGTATCAAGCAGGGCCAGTACTTGATAGGTAGTTTCTTCCATGAGGTGCAGATCCCAGCCAACATTTCACTTGCTTCTGCCTGTTATGATGACCAGGCGGCTAAGGAAGGGCTGGAAATGAAATAATGGTGGAATTCTTTCTCTCCCACTTGTGCACCAAGTCCAGGTTATTTCATTTTGGCAGATACAACCTCAGCTACACTCCCCATGATTTCTCCCTTCCCAGCTAGGCTTTTTGTCGTCCTACTGTTTGTACTCCCCTAAGTGCTCATTAGTTGTTTCTAGAAGATTAAAAATATTAAGATGTCATTATTGGTCTGTTTTCAGTGCACTCATCGTGTTTGGTGCTCTTCAGTTATTTTGCATTGGCTTGTTTTTATTTTAGCCTTTACTTTCAATTCTTTTTTTTTTTTTTTTAGTTTTTTTAGGGGTGTGTGTGTGTGTGTGCAGGGTCTCACTTCACAGCTGGGACTTATAGTGATTCTCCTGTTTTCAGCCTCCCTAGCGCTGGGATTACAGGCCTGTACCACCACTCACAGACTTGGTCACTGGCTCAGTGCGCACTGGGACAGGGCTGGCATGGGATGTGTTGCGGAGGATTGAAGTTCCTGCATCTGCCTAAGGAGGCACTTAGTCCACTGAACTATTTCATTGGCCCTTTTTACTTTCATTCTTTGAACATAATCCTCTCAGCTCTTTGGATGTTCCTGTCCATTTTTAGTTCCTCTGATCAGTTGTTCTTCCTAATGTGCTCCGTCCTCTAGAGTTTCATTCTCATCATTAGCAAAGTTGCTTCTGCCGCAAATCTGACCATAAGGAATGGGTTATGTTCACAGCAAGGTGAGGT